GCCAGATTACGGCCCAGCCTACCTACCTCTCAAGACTATACTTACCTCAAAATTATAGGTAGGACTTTGTTACTTGATCCCTTGTATCAACTGCCAAGTCGCTGCGCCAGGAGCGAAATCCGTCATCAAGAACTTGCCCAGAGTCGTATTCTCCATCTTGACAATGGCATCCCTGTTAGTGCGCAGGCAGCAACACAGAGTCCAACCTCACACGAAGAACCGACTGGACGGAGACACACGCAGTCTCCTTTTCCTCGTGAGATCTTCCCGCAACGGCTCCGCCCATCCGACCACCGGACCATGGTGGTTGATGCTTCGTCCGGTTTCAAACTTTTCAAGCGGACCACCGGACCATGGTGGTTGATCGCTTCGTCCGGTTTCAAACTTTCAAGCGTTGTCACTTTTCGCCTCCTGCCCCCCCCCCCCCCCCCCCCCACCCTCCCTCACTCCTTGCCTGTTCCCCTCTTCCCCACTCAGACACATCAAAACCATGCTTTCGAGGCTCACCATTCCCCATCCCGTCTGCAGTTTCAGACTTTGCAGGAGTTTCTTGTCAGATTGGTAGCTCCAAGGGCTATCACGTGGCCTGTGGTCCTTTTCCTTGACAGACTTGGTTGCCCCGGAGTCATGCTGCGCTACCATCGACCATTTTAATATGCATGATGGCGCGCATGCTCCTTAGGTACGCTACTTACCTGGCAAAACATGACATCTCAAAACCCTTCGTTCCTGGTTTGAATGCTCTCCCCTCGCTGTCCTTCTTTTTTCGCCGCAATATCATTGGGTGTCACGCCCTTGATGCCTCTACCTACTTTCTCTCGAAAGCTCTTTCCATGTTTTGCGCCAAGGTGGCAACTCGGAGGTTCAACAAGAGCTCCGATACTTGGCTGAGTACGCTCTCCTAGAAAGGTTGAGTGGCCGGGGTTTGTTGGCGCAGCCCCGGTATTGAACGTCTCTTCTTTAAAAGAAGTCGGCCACAGGATGAAGCTTACACCAACTCGTATGCCCCTTCCTCAACTTAACTTTCTTCTCACACCCCTCGGGGATTTAAAAAGCTTCAAACCTGAACTGGTCCCGAATCCTCTACGCCTACGCAAGAGCCTGACACAGCTTGTTTCGAACCTTCCTAATAATTACCTGGGACATCGGCAGGCACACGGCAAAGTACTGGTACCTTGATCATACCGATGTCAGTTGCGGTGCTCGATGTGGCACGACAGCTGAGGTGCTTCTGCGCTTTGAGACTTCATGACATCTTCCCCAGCTTCAAAAAAAGACCACCTCACTTAGGCCTCTCAACCGGCCAAGTTCCCTCTAACCCCCCTCACCGGGTTTATTCTTTCGTATTTCTGGCCGATATCTCCACCTCTTTCTTGCGTTCAATCCTTGTTTATGATCCAAAAGACGTTCGAATGCCCGTCCTTCCTGTCGGATATATGCACAGCATGGTTGCAATGATCAAATACCCAGGAACGGTGAATCATCGTTGTGGAAGCTGACCTTGGACAGGCCTGTACCATGTTTCCTTCTTCGTCTCTCATTTTCCCAGTCTATCTTAAAAGATTTCGGAATCTCGCATGAGCTAAGCCCCAGATACTCCCAATTGGTCGACTGTACTACTTAATAGCTCGGCATGCATTGCGCCCGAGTGCGCCACAAGTCCTGGATTGTTCGTATATGACCTTTCGCGCTTCATAGGGGCTTCAAAATTGTTTTCGCGCTCTCCGTCATGATCGCTCATTGCACCATGCTCATCACTCTTGATCGATCTCCAGATCATCAGATTTCGGGATGAAGTTGCCTTGAAGTACTTGGCACGGAGCGCGACTGGTCACTCGATGTCAATGGCGGCTGAAAACGTGAACGAGGGGCAGGATATCAATGCGCACAACTTTGTACGATGTAAAATTGGGAAGTACTACAGGAGGCTCGAGTGGGCGCTACCCTGATGTGTCAAAGTTGACTCAGCCCCCCACGCTGTCAACCTCTACAGTGCATGGCATTTGAGACAATATGCGGCATGTTGGGAAGTGGCTCTTGAGTCGTCCTGTCTTCCTTATCTTACCACCAGGGACAGGGTATGGCTAACTTTTCAACGGTCTCTACCAAGTAAGCAGTTGAAGGGTTGGTAAATATTGCGTTACTAACATTGTTCCCGTTGCTGTGCCATTTGCGACTTCTTTTCACAGATATGTTCACCTTGAGCTTTTATATTGACGAGTGTCTCTTCAACTATGGGTCTCAAGCTGTCTGGGTTGGAAGAATGCGAATGCGGCGCTGACTGTCCTTTCCAGGTTCCTCAAAGTTTTAACCCAGTGGCCTAGTGGTTCAAGAGCTGTTACTACTTCACTAACATCCTGCGTTTCCCTTGGAAATTGGGGTCTGCCTTCCCCATCTGCAAGATATTTTACAGCGGTTCGTCTTGAGAAATGTCTCTGCTTTCCATAACTTATCCCCACATATGCCACTCAGTCACAGCTTGTTGGCACCCATTAGTTGGAGTCATGGCGCCTTCTATTCACAAGCCTCCCGTTCGTTCTTTCAACCCTTTCTCTTGAAACTGCAACAGCTGGCATGGTTTCCGAGACAAGATGTTAGCGGTATGTCTCGGTCAGTGACTGCGGACGGCCCGATGGCCCATTATTGACCGCTTTCCGGCCTCTCCGGAAATAGACAAGGCTCGAGGCGAGCTTGTATGATTTGGCCAGCCTACTGAGCGCTTGTTCGGCCATGGTCATGTTGGTTTTCTGTTTAAACGCGAAGTCGATTATCAACCACCGCGTGAAGTTACGCCGGTCTCACGGATTAGCGCCCATTTCAGCCGCCTGGAGTGAGACATACAGATCTAGGGCGTACTTGCATCCGTTCACCTAGTTGGCCACCTTTGTAACTATCGGAAAGGTTATCGAGGAAATGAAGCGAGGCTCGCCTTTTAAGTATGTCCTTGCGCTTTTAACTGGTCAACTGAAGAGGGCCTAGAAAATTCAAATCGTTTAAGAATGAAGCTAAAGGAACATATACTCTGGACGATATCGTCAATGCCCGATGAGATTGCTCACAGCCAATCCCTTGATATTACCCCTGAGAACCTTGCTTATTTTGTCTCTTCATGATTCATCATCCACCAACCTCGAGGAAAGTTCCTAGGTGTCCATCTGTCAAAAGACGCCATTGAAGCCATCCGACCGGCAGAGTCCGCCTCACCGGTTCAAATAGTTGCGGCGGGTCTATCTCGTTCTGCACACCGTGGGATCCTACAACCACGTAGTTCAGGTCCTATCGAATGCGCCTCGGATATAAACTGCAAGTTGGAAATTGCATGTTGACTGTTCCATACTCGACTATCGATTTCCTTACCATGGTTGTATAGACAATCTCATCTCTTTCTACAGGCTGTGGAGAGGATCACGAATCCTCCATCCTGCTTTGTTACATTTACCCCTTTCAGGATATTTCATTCCTTTTGCTTTGAGCGTGTCCTCAGTGGGATAATACTCTTTCGTACGCCTTGTCCTTGCTTGTCTTTATCCATTACCCTTGCTCGGTTAGTCCTTACCGTAGATCCCCCGCGCTCCTGTTGATCCCGTCCAGTCCCACGCTTCCGCCCTCCTCTGTTCCAGTTCCCCCTTTTTCTTCTTTTCTTTTCCGATTCTCGGTCAACGGACCAACAAGGGACAGCGTAGTAACAGACAAAGACTATCGACTCAAGCCTCACTTCCAAAATTGGACAATGTCAAGGTCTGGTCGTCTTTGAACTTGGACATTGTGCTGGGGGACAATGATGTCGTTAGTTTGTGTATGATTTGGTCTTGGATGCCAATCAGCGTTGGCCCGGACCGAATATGTTTGTTACGTTTTCGGCTATCGTGTTAGATATTTTGCTAGTCGTGGTTCAGATTATCATTTGCTATGGCGGTGATCAATTGCTCTTTGCTTTGAGTGAGGATGTCTTCCAAGTTGCAAACCTCCCAAGTGGCGGTGTGGCATTTCACTAGTCAGATACTGGATAGCTCCAGTTCGGAGTATGCATTTTCTCAGAGTTGGAGATTGTCTTCAAATTCATAGGAGCATGACTGTACACGCCCGGAAGTACGGCTTTGAAATCCTCTGGGCTTGTGCCGGTTGTTTTAGTACCAGTTGAAGTCAACAGTTAGGACGGAGAAAGGGACGCGGGAGAAGGGTGGCAGCAAGAATTACGAGAGAAGTAACAGGTAAGTGTCCCACGCCTGGAGTGACGCAAGTCCTGGTCAAGTTTTGACGGTTAACTGCGTCTCAATTGACCTTTACTTGGACTCCGGCCTTCCCCAGGGCCCGGCCCAGGCTTAGGGCTCCCGCTCAAAGATGGGACGAGACAAACACATGCCCCTCATAAGCACAAACTTCCTGCCCTCTTTCAACAACAACAACAACAACAGCCACTAGAATCTCCCATATAGTGCAGAGGTTTAGCATATTGGATTTTCAATCTTCCACGTTGAGACCTCCAAAGACCCGGGTTCGAACCCCGGTGTGGGAATTAGCAACTTCTTTTTTGGTCTTTTTGCCTTTTTGTCATGGACTTTTTGATGCCGGGTACCTGCCGTCGTGCCTGCTTTTTGCGCTCGGAGTGTCTCCTGACGTTTAGAGGTAGGTTTGTTTCTCGGTTGGAGGCACAAAAATTGCAAATCAATCACCAAGCAGAAGAACCCAAACAAGATCTGTGATTGCAACAGTCATACGTGCAGAGAAGAGAGTAGGTAAGGTAGGCAGAATCTGATATTTTGGGTACTCCGTTCTTTTTCCATGTCTCCCCGTCTCCATCAATGTCGTGGACTGTCTGCCACCTCTACTTCTAGGCCTTTTCTCTCGCGCGAACCTGTTTCTACCCTGCATTCGTCACGTTCATTCTACCCAAAACGCGCGAAGCTGACATTCTATTCCGCAGACTTTGCATCATCGCGACAGTTCACGTTGGCAAGGACGACGACAATGACGACGAGGACAGAAGCAACTCAAACCTTATGGCGCCCCTCTCTCCCACTCAACCGGATAAGCTTCTACACATAACTGCCCTGACGCTGTCGAGGTCAGGGTCGCGACCGTCGAAGATCCTATCGCTCGTTGATGCCCAGCAGGGTTACCGCAACTTCAGCACGAACAAGCGTGCGCACGAAGATGACGAGAAGCCGATGATGCGGTCAAGCGATAGTTTCAAGGACTTCAAGATGGCGTTATCCTGCCTCATCTGACGCTGTGGCATTTTCAACGACCTGTCAAAGTCCGAGATGCGCCGTGAAATTGCCCGACGTTGAACGTCTTCGCGGTCTTGTTCAAGCTTCTTGTTCAAGCTTCTTCTTGCAAGGATAATTCCACGTACGACCAGTATACCTAGCTGTGACAGGGTCTTCACAAAAGCCTACCGTACATATGGGCATGTTGCAACTATGTCTTTCTACCTACCTCTACTGGTCTAGGTGCTCACGACGAGTGTTTGCGCCCTATAGGTGAACAAGGCTAGGTGTCTACAACTTCAACCGTCTTGAATCCCAAAGCTCTGTGATCATGAAGTCGTAAACAAACAACGAGATGGATGGGTTTGGTAGTATGATTGTGACTTAAGAAGCGGGCAGGTTTGTGTTTCCAATCGTTACCTAGGTATCCGAATATGCCCCGATTTTGACTGAGTGTCTGTCTGTTCATCCCAGAGGTACTCAGATAGGATAAATAGTGGCTCAAACATGCAGTAATTAGCGCCGCATGAATCTGTCATCACCACCAGAACAAGACGTATACCCTAAATCGAAATCGAACGTGATCCAAACTACCTTACCTAACTGTACCCGAAGTTAAAGACCCTTTGCCTCCGGTATTGCCGTTCTGACCAGGAGTAGTACCATTTCCCTTTCCCATCCAGAAATCAATGTAGTGGGCAGACCTTTCCGATCTAGGCCAAAGGCACATGCATCCCTTCCTTTCCCCGTCGGAAATACATACCAAAATCCTGCAGCCGACCAGAAACTCAGAAACCGTGGTCCTGAGGCCAAGTCATACTTTCCTTCCTTTCTTCCAAAAATTACTATCCCACGACAGGGGTATAAGCCCGGTTCCCCTCTCTTTCTGTTTTGTTTTTACCTCTCCTTTCGAAACTTGCACCATGACACGGGCATAGCCAAGCTCTCTTCCCTGTGGCTTTCCGCGCTTGACTATGACCATGACACGGGCATAGTACACAAGGCCTCTCCCCTTCTCTTTCCGTTTCCTTTCTCTTTTCTCCTGAACTTTAACCATGACACGAGCCTGGTACCTAGACAAGGCTTCCTCCTTTTTTCTCATCTTGATCCATGACACTGGCAGGTCTAGCCTAGTGGAATTAAGTAGAGTTTCTACATCTCAGTAGGGTACCCAACCTGGCGATTCTTGCGCTTCGGTAGCTATCAATCGTAATGGAGGAAGAGGATAAGACCGGGCTGCTGCTCTCCACACCACCACCACGACATGGACTGTTTCAGTCAAAGACACTCAGAATAGAGGTATACTAAGTTCCGGGAAGTTTACATCACCCCCGCAATCTTCATCGGCAATAGCTCCCGTAGTGGTACCTCTAGGTAGGTACATTCAAATCAGTTATGCCTGCTGACTAGCATACTAATTCTTCGTAATCCACATCCTGACATTGTGCTGAGCCTCGATGGCCCTGCCGTGGAGACAGCAATTGCCCTCCTTCCTTTGTTCCTTCCTTCCACCCCTTCTATCCTGCCCCTCCCTCCTTTCACAAGGACACGTACAGCAG